TGCATTGCACGAGGATATAAAACAATTTTAATTACAATTCTTCTAAAAAACAGCTAACTAAATACAAAAGCCGTAGCAATACATATACTTAGTTGACTATACATTATACTAATTTGCCAGCACATTATAGGTATACATTGTTGACATTGCACTAAACACAGTATGCGGTGATACAACGGATGACATGAGAATACAGCTAGCTAATTTATAAAACACATTTTACACTGTACAAATGCCTAGTTATCTACACATTGTTCGGAGTAGAATATGAGCTATACATAAGCATTGTTAACAACATGTAATACACAGTATGCAGCTATACAGTGGAAGACAAGGCAGTACGGATGATATACTGATCTACCAAAAATCTTTAAAGAGCATTTTTCGTAATCTGAACAATTTGTTTTTAAAAATTTAGATTACTAAAAGTTAGGTATTAAGATACTTTTGAACGGAGGATGTTAGTCTGGTGCACATTTGTATTATTTGGGCTCTATTCTGACCCACAGAAATCCTGGCCCAGCGCTTCTAGTTTTTCCATTACGTGTTTCATTTTGCTCAGAAGTGCCGGATGTTTGACTAAAAATCGCTTAAAGGCTTGAAGCTTGAAGTGACAAGCACATCGAGCTGATACCTAGAAGATCTAACAGCACGATTAATCTATCACAATCTCTATTTTTGATTAGTCTAAAAGGGTCTCTACGGTGGCGCCCGAATTAAAATGCTGGGAATGATAACTTGTCATTCCTTAGATTTGGTTGAATGGGTCTCGTAATTTCCCCTAGTCAATCGTTAAGGTGAAGGAGATTGGAATAAATTGTTGAATTCTGGCCTCGTGACGTAAGACATTAGCAATCTAGACAGCAGTTAGAAAATCGGTGAGGTACCGGTGAGGACATAATTGACATTCTACATTTTTCTCTTTGCAAGTCTTAAAAATATTTGCAAGACTGTTCAGTCTTATTTTATATAGGGTCGTTTAGTGCTAAAAAATTATTATATAAAATACTTTTTAGCATAACTAAGTGAAGAATGAAAACTGGGAGTCATAAATGAAATATTGTGCTATTCATTTATTCCAGAACTCTGGAAGAGCTGTGACAAAAAAAGATTTCCATTCACCAGCTTCAAAAAACAATATTAGCATTTCTTTCTCAAAATATTATTGAGTTATAATGCTGGCAACAAAAAAAAAAGTTCTTTAGATAAAATTTTAAATGTTTATATAATAATGAGGAATAATAATGTAAAATACATAATTTAAGAATAAAATGTGTTAATTACAATTTCTTGCAACATTTCGTGTTCTAAACTAATTAAATTCAATTAAAATAATAATTAATCAATTGTTATTCTTATCCACTAAATTTTACTCGTATGTAATATAACAAATTTATTTAATGAATAGATTCATTCGTTTGTCAGAGTAATTGCATTATCTTTGAATTCTTAAAGAGTACTTTTTGCAATTAAAATAATGTTTCAATTGTTTTATAATTAAACGTATCTTTATTTTAGAATAGGAATAGCTGAGAATATTATGAAAAACTAATACTTTAAACAACCGCTAAAACAGAAATAAAACATTTTGATTATAATCAACTTTAAGAAACAGAGAATTAACTCTTAATTCGTGTATTCTATATTTGTTAGCACTTAAGTAAAATAATTAAGAAAATAATTTTCTTTTTTTATTTCCCAAATGACTGTTCTAATATAATTACCTGTTTTTCTTTAAAAAAAATTTCCCGTCTTCAGCTATTTCCTATGACATTTTATTAATCGAATTCCGATAGAAACTCATGTAATTTAACTTCAATTTTGGCAATCGTCAGGCATTTGTTATTTAATCGCTTTTTGGTCTGATTGATTACAAATGAATTAATTCGTTTTTTGCTTTAAGAATTTCTCTCCCATCCTATCTATCCTTGATTATCTAGAATTATTTATTACGGCATTTTTATCTTAATTATTATAAATCCTAATCGAAATTTGATTACTTACCAATTAAAATGTGTTATAAGTACATCACTCAGGGAAAATGGATTATTATTTTTTAATTTATCCAGAAATACTCAAAAATCGCGAGCTTTTCTATATAACGCATCAGCAAGATGTTTTCTTGACAACCGTTCGGTGATTCATTCAGAGTAATCGAACTGTGGTATTGACTGTATTTTCAGAAACATGGTACATGGTAATTCTGCACGAAAAAAAAAATAGTTCTATATCTCTTCTATTGGGCCGATTGATAAAGTTTAACTTCCATTAGTCACGTCTCGAAAGCGCGACTTAGTATTAGATTTACATACAGTATTATTCTAACATAGATATTTCGACACAAAATTGGACTTTTTCTGAAAAGACATACCGATTGTTTTTCATATTTCTATTCTACGACTAAAATTATGACAAAATATTAAATTTTGTAATATTTAGTGCGAAACTTACCGCTAAATTCAAAAATTTATCTTGGCGTACTTTTTTCAGTTTGCCCAAAGAATAACTCATTTGGCGAAATTAATTTACCATAACCTATTTTCCTTTCCCTTTTTTCATTGTGCACGAGTAGAAAAAAGGTACATTGTTCATTCTTTCAAATAATTTTAACAAAATGCATAAACTACATTTGACGTTATTATCGCTCATAACAAATATGCCAAATTTCAAAACTCGCCAATATATGAAGTCACAAATATCTTTCAATTTTTCATTTCCCCCCCCCCCAATAAAAAGCTCTAGTTTTTGCAGGTATGCTTAGAAAAGCATCTATTTTAAGATAATGGCAAAAAATGTTATTGGTTACGTTGAATTATAATTCAAAACGTATTTTGGAAAATCACTTAACGTAGTCTATAAAGTATCGACATGTTGCCTTGGCCTGCGAAATCTCCTATTTCTCTCTCGCACCGAGCATGTATGAGACAAGATTGGCCGACTAATACAGCATCACCCATAACCAGCACGAGCTGTTGCTGATATGACAGATCAAGTGCAATAGATACAAAACTCCATCCCACAAAATGACACACGGCACGTGTACGCGCGCTTACATACTTGCTTTCAGCATCGTGGTGACTAGAGTGGTTATTAATGTACAACCATTTCACATTTCACATGGCTCTTCTTGCCCATACTTTAACCAGTGAGCTTGAAACAATAATTAAATAAATATGTTGCCTAGCCAAATGTTTTTCCTATGTGTCATTCCTTTAAACAGTTTTTTTTTTCTTATTGTTGGGGTTACACTTTCCGTCAGTATAATTAAAGGCCACCGATAGTGAAGGACCTGTGCAGTTATAAGGGTGTAAATGCTTGCGAAACAAGGTAATAGTGCGCTATATGTCATTGAAGAGAGATTTCACGGCCATCTGTCTTCTTTTATCTACAGATACTCATATGATATGTAATTAAATAATAGCGAAATAATATTTCTTCTGACTATTCCATAGCAGTGCACACATGCTTCTGACTAATGCACGACATCGCTGATTTAGGCTAACACAAATCGAAGTAAAATTATGAAATAAAATTAGAGGAATAGCGTTAAATGCCTTGTGGTGCGATCCGTTATATCCTATCGACGAGCTGACCATAGAGCGGAACTGTATACTGATTATCAAGATTACTATACTACAAAGGTTTACTCTTTCGTGACGTCACTGACTCATAGCCTGCGCAAAAGCAATTATTCCCTATTCGCTTTGTGTATTCATTTCTCCCATTTCACATCATTGAATTCGAGCATCGGAAGGAGTCTAACATTATTTGTCTACTGTCCTTGTAAATTACCACTTCTTAATGATAGTACCAAACCTAGTGTAATCACCTGTTGAAGATTGACTCCTATGTATTCTTGCGATATACTAGTAAGCACATTCAAATGAAACTGGAAGGTCTGGGCTTAGGTCTGTGAGAGATCCCAGTTGAATATTTCAAGAATTCTTGTTTCTAGAAAATATTTATCATAACAACACTTATTACTTAATTACAACACTTAATTTTGCCTTAAGTCTGAATGCATTAATTACAGTGACTGCATGCAGAGTTGTGCATTCTTCTGTTGTTTTTTTCCTTCCATAAATTATAAACAAGATGTAATAGAATTGATGGTCACAACTTTAAAGGGTATTAGAACATGGGGAATATAACAATTTTTATAATGCAATGTGTGGTGGAGTGTGAAATGTAAGCACAGAAATACAGTAAATATGAAGAACGGGGAAAACGTAAAGTTGTTTGAATAACGGATATTCACACGAATTTTTCAAGTGAACAACTAGCAACTCCAATAAATGTACCACATGATGAATTTCGTTTACCCTACCACCAGAATTAGCGTCGCTTCTGCAGTAATACCTGAAACATGTATTGCAGCTGGTGATAATTCATTTGAACAATTCTTGTAAATATTAAATATTATTTCTTGTAGATATCGGAAATCAAGACGACTTTTTGTTCTCTATGCTTGTATTTAGTGTGTTTCCGTGTTCACATTTCACCGCACATTGTATAACGAAAATTGTTAATTTTGTGATATTTTATCATCCCTTAAAATTATCCGACCATGAATTCTATTATATCCTGTATATAAATTAAATAATGTCTATTCTCTGTTTGTTTTCATTTTTTCTTTGGCTCATAATTTAGAGACACAGTTGTTTCAATATCGAACAAATACAGTAAAGGAACCTTGAAATAATAGAAGCACTTCTTTGAATTATTAAAAAAAAATTACTGCTTGCTTTTTACATTTATATATTTCTAAGTGTAAACAAATGCATTTTTAAATAGTATTATATTTAAAAGGTTATGTAGTAATTTGTGTTCTATTTACGAACGTTTATAAGCATAGCTGAGTTGAGTCTTCATTGTTAAAATTGTTTAACAATTAATTTTAAATATTATTCTTTTGGAGAATGCTGTAAATTTTAAATATTTTCAGCTTACGTGTTAAAATATTATTTTAAAGAAAAATTCACTTTTATGTTTCTAAATAGGACACCTTCGACGCACAAAATGGCTCCTTGGGTAAAGAGAGTTTTCCTGCACCTTCTACCCAGGCTGCTTCTTATGAGGCGGCCTGCCTATCCTGACGACAGCCCTAAGGTAAATTTTTTAATGTTTACTTCTTTCCATAAGACTGGATTTAATCTTCTTTTTTCTTTTCTGTTTTTTATTCTAATAAAATATCGATTACTTTACTCTCTCTGAAAGATACACTGTCAGTTCTTAAAAACTTAATATTTACATTGGCGTATGGGTAGGATTTTTCTGTTAGTTTCGCAGATTAGAGAAGCAAAATATATCATCGTTTTTATTTGGAATGAAAAGGTCATGTTTTATTTCTTTCTGGTAAAAATGTTTTTTCCATGAAAAGAAATGCTCTTCAATTTTTGGGTAAAATAAAAGGAGTAATGCATTAATAAATATACTTAAATATTTAATTCTAATTAAGAAGAACAAGCGTTGACAAAAGATGCTGTATAAGATCGAGAATGTTTGATAAACGGTTTAAAGATTTTTAAGAAATAAAATTTATCTTCTTAAAATATTTGGAAGAATGTCCGAAACTTTTTGAAAGATAAATGAAGATTGAAGGGTGGTTATACTCGAGCACGTTTTGGGGGGGAAAACTGCTCTTCAGAAAAGTTCTTAAAGTCCAAATCAAGGATGTGCTTTATCTGCTTTCATCTCAGTCCACTTTATGGATTAGCTGAAAATTTAATAAAGTGTAAAAATGTCAGTTTCGTAAAAAAGAATTTGCATAATGGAATTGTATTTTATTCTTGAATTTGAGGATGTTTTCAGCTGGGGTTAAAACTGAATCTTTCGCATCGTCATACTTCTCTACCACATATTGGTGATATTTTTAATGTCGGGAATATTGTTTAGTTTAACATTTATATAACATTTTTAGAGCAAAACAGAAACAACTTTTTCCTAAATATTACTAATCCCAAAACAAACATACCTAAAGTTTTAATTACCTTGAAGCGAATTCATTTTATCACCTGTAGATTTGGATTTTTTATATCATAGCAAAACACATTAAGACTACCTACCTAAGGAGAGGGATACAATCATGAAAGACCTTTCTAGGGCACACTGATTCATATTCTGTTTACACACTATGAAAGCAATGAAGCCCATGCAACTTCTTCACCAAGATTTGAACACGGAACAAACTATGCTTCAGCTGTCTTATCCCGCTGATCTTACCATCTCTTGAAAAAAATAATATGGTGTTACAATAAAATGTTATATAGTGTACCCTAAAGAAAGGAAATATCCAAAATTAATTAATTTATGAAAATTACCATAAGTGCCCAACCAGCAAGTAAATGCTGGTTGGGCACTTAATTTCAGAATTAACAATTATACGTACTCCTTGATTGTGTAGTGCAGAAAAGAAACATCAGAACTTTTCTATATAATTCCTTTATTGTCTTTTTTAGCAGCTACTGAATTAATTATCCTGATTATGTAAAATATTTCCAAAGAGACACAAGAGATTACACTGTCATTTCTACAGACCTTGACAGTTCTATCATAGACAGGCTACTCCCTGACTATCGTGAAACACGTTGCTATCCGGAATAATCCTCATAAATAAACTATCGACGAATTATTGAACACGTAAAAATCACTGGTGCTTGTCCGTTCTTGAATCAAACTCGAATTTAGGCCTAATTTATTTTTAGACTACAATACATCGTGAACGCATAGAATGGCAGGTCGAATTCTTAACGTAAACGCATCTTTCATTGATGAATGCTGGTACTTGCTTCAAAATGAAGCTAATCAAAGACCATTCTATGGTGTTTTTGACTTTACTGTTTTCTTGACTCTACCAGGAAAAATTGCATGCTTGAAGGCTTTCACTAAACCATCACTACGTACTTAACGCGAAGAATCGTAGCAGAAAGAGTAAGGCCGAAGCCTCCATCTTCTTTCAGCATGCTATCGAAAAGGGGGGAATCTGTTTAGTGAGAATTTTATTCACTCGCGCTGAGCGAATTCGATGAAGATTAGTTACTTGCAGTTCAAGAATGAATGCTTGCTTTCACATAAGGTTTAGAAGTAGCAAAAACCTTGCAAATGTCATTCGTTATCGAGACAGTGTTCTGTGCAGCTGGGAGTGCATCGTGAATTTTTTAACTCTTAATGAACCAGAAACAAGTTTTACTAATCCTGGTGCCAGAATAAAAAATCTGATGGGGCCAACACATCACGAGATTTAAAGCATCACTTCCGGTTGATCGTTTGTAAACAAAATTTAATTTGTTGTTCTAATAAATAAAAATGCTTAACTCCTGTCCTGCCATTCTTATATTATCTAATCACTATATCTTATCTCCTTCATTTGAGCTTTGGCAGCTGAGGATGATGGTTCGGTAAAACCATATAAACTAGTCCTGTGAAAATTTGCAAATATAACGCTGATTTTTGTTCTTTGATTTCTAAATTAATAAATAAAAATGTGTTACGAAATGTTGGATTATATTGCATTATGTAGAACTGTTTAGTGAATTTTTTAGTGAAATTATGTATAATTTCACTAAAATTATTTAAATATACAAAATATTCGTAACAGTATGTAATAATCTATTATGTTATGTTATTCTCAGCGATGATTGTATATGCTTAGTATACGATAGATTCTTTAAATATCAGAGTTGATTATATCATAATGTATTTTTTCATAAAAATCTGTTCACAGTTGCAATGAAAGTTTCACTTCCTTTTTATCAATTTCAGCCAAAATCTAGTAACATGTTGTTCCACTGGTATAAAAGTCTTAAATACTAAAGTTTGAAATGTTTGGATTATATTTTAAAACAGATGTCCATTAAAAACTATTATGAGCTTCAAGTGATGTACCACTTTCAGCTGTCTAGGTTTACCCAAAATTTAATCAACTCTTTACATGATTGCAAAAAGCTTAACTATGAAAAACTGAAATTTTCGGAATTTTTAAATTCTTACATAAAATTTTCGCAAAATTCCTTTCCTTGAAATACAAACGTGACGTTTAGCAACTACACCCTATCCCTCGATTTACACGGAAATAGGTTCCGCACAAAATCGTGCAAATCGACATCTTAGATTTTGCTATGTAAAACCGTGTAAAACGAAAAACACACTTAAACGTGCATAATTTAGTTATTTGTTTACATAAAATAAAAGTAAAACATCTTAAAATAAATAAATTTATACTTCTTTCATTAAATAACAAATATATGTAGGTAATAGAAGTACATATTTAATTTATTTTACGTTAGGAAAATATAAAATCATTCAAAAAATTATTATAAGCTTAATCACTGACATCACAGGAAAAAGATACTTTTTTTTTATCTGAAAGTCGACAGTAACTGATTCTGAAGTACTTTTTAAATCTTTAAAGCCTTATTTGTAATAGCATTAGTATAAATTGGTATTCGTTTTTGATTTTGGTCTCTTATCTATATCACTAATGCCTTATCCATATTTTCTATTGCATCATCTCTTACATATGAAATTGGGCTCTTACTGCTGTTAGTTCCAGCTGCTACACGTTTTCTAATAGACTTTTCATTTTTTCTAATTGTCCTTATTGTGGCTTCCTTCATAGAGTAAAATTTAGCAAAACTGTTACTCTTTCTCTATTATGTAGAAGATTTAATATTTTAATTTTCGTTTCTAAAGAAATAACTTTTTTTATTTGGGTTTTTCCCCCAGATCTTTTGGTATTATAAAACCTTAGAAAATTTAATTAAATTATAAAAATGCCACAAAAAATATAAATGTTGAAAACTTACTAGTAAACATTCAGATACGTAGATAAAAATGATGTAAACTTTGCTGCTAAAATACTTAAACTGCACTAGTTAACATGATAGCTTTTTGTTGTGAAATACATATATATACTACGGGGATTCCTTTTTTACAACACGGGGAATCCCCATCTTTGTTGTTCCCAGCAGTGTTACCGAAGGAATGAAATTCAAAACTGATTTCCAAATATATGTATTTGCGTATATTCAGTCGAATATACATTTTTATCAAGTTTTTTAAATCCGTTAATTTGTACAGTGTAAAACCGAAACCGTGTGAAACGAGTACCGTGTAAATCTACGGATAGGTATACTGTCTAAGCGGCGTTAACTTTGAGTAACTGAATTCATAAAATTTGGATTAATCCCACCTGCTACTAATTCTTAATTATCAACACATAAAGTATTTCTGTCTGCACGTGTCTTGTGTAGTCACTGCATTTTTAAATGAGATAAGCAAAAGGTTCTCATTCTCCGCATCTACGAAATAGTTTAGAAGATTTGAATGGCACGTAATATTGCGTGCATGTTACATAAAGAAAACATTTTAAACGCTCTAGATAAGTTCTTATCCCTGCCACACGCACAAATAATCGAAATCCTCTGTTCCCACGCAATAAATTCTCCAAGTACCAGTGTTCAGACTTTGTAAAATATGCTAATCATAGGCATGTAAAAGAAGAAAATGCATTTCAGTTTTAGAATGCGTCGCTATGAATCGTTGGTATCTGACAACATTTTAAGAGAGCAAAATAAATAGGACAAAAAAGTTAGCGAAATGTGCTTTTAGGAAAAAGTAAAAAATTAAAACTAATGAGTTTATGAAAATTGTTGCATATTTCCGAAGTTAATTTGAGAATAAATTTTAAAACAGAAAAACTGCTACTCTTATAAAAAAATTTAGGAAGTTACGCTGTTTATCGTTTCCATATATATATCTCCTCATAAGCATGCTACGAAATTTCATTCTAACTTCAAGCGGTAACAATATTACATTTGAAGAAAACTCACGAATATAGCTGGAACTACAATGAGATACTGCTAGAGTCTTTCTTAAAAATGACAGCTCTTTTATGTTGAAACGAATATCTATAAAATTATCTACAGTCGAAAATTCATAACTTCGAAATTCAAAAGACGCAGTGAAAATTCAGATTTTCTCAGGGAGATAAAATTAAAACATGGAAATTATAGATAATAAAGTCTAATAACTGTTGGCCTCACGGACTTCTCCGATTATTTTTTACTTTATCCTATAAGCCTGACTTAGAAGAAAAAGAATATAGCAGTTTTCCATAAAAATATTTCAAATTGCTTCCGAGCTCATGAAACTTCAATTCTGAAACTTTCCAAAATGTCGTCCGATTTGGAGAAATATCGAAACATATCGCCAAAATATCTCGCCAAATTCAATATACATCGATACCAAAATTTTGTTCCGTGGGCTGCTAAATTTTAATAGACAGCATCTGTTGTTGCTTGTGAAATTTGCGAAACTCCAATGGTTATTTATATGGAATTAAACAATCTATAAAATAATAATATAATTATGCAATGTATATAATTACTGAACCCAAATTAAAAATAGCGCAAAAGGCACAAGAAGTGTATACCAACTGAAGTAAAATAAGATGCAAAACAAATAATAATAAATAAGTAAAAATGTTTCATTAATTCGATATATAAAAAACAGTCATACTAAAACAAAGGTACATCCTCTGAAAAGAATGTTCAAAGCATGCACGCTCACATTCAGCATTATGCAAAGAATGAAAAGTTTTAAAATCTTATTAAAAATTTGGCTTCTGAATTCGAAACCTAAATTCATAAAGTTTTTAAATTAGAGACTATGAGTTCAAAAATAAATGTTATAATCCGTAAGAATTTCTAACTCCAAAAGTATAAAAAAAAAGATCTATAAAAAAATCATCTATAAAAAAATTTGTCTTTTACTGACAAAACATGAGCAAACAAATAAAAACCATTTTCATTTTCTGTGAAATTGATTTAATCTGAAGTGTCGCATTCTTCAAAAAATTAGTTGCTCTTCATCAGTTTCGAAATTTGATTTATTTTTATAGTTTATTTTTTATCATAGCCTACTAGAACCGAAAAACTTCAAGCAACACTATCCCACACCGATTTATGTTTTTTACTTTTAACGCAAAGCAAAAATTAATTCACTTACAATTTTCTTATAATGTACTCGGGGCGTTATAATCTCTCTTGTATTATGTCATTGGCCTGAGAACTATTTTGATAATCAGAAAATATAAAATATCCAAACGGCTATAAATCAAATTTATAACACATTTGCTATCTACTTTGGGCTTTTCCCCTAGCAAGTTCATACGTCGTTGTGCATCTTTATCTAACAATATATTAATCGTTATTAAACTGTAATAACAGAATTTGAAGAACCTTTTTCATATTTCTAATATCTGCTTTTCAAAAATTAGTATAAGTCTGAGAAGATGATTTAAATTGAATTACATAATAGAAGACAGTCATATTGAATGATTCAAGACAGTCATAATGAATGATTCAAGACAGTCATAATTATTTTGAGCATAATGGTGCGAAATTCTTATAGTACGAAAGACTATTTGTACAGTTTAAATGTTTCTTCTATATTTTCAGGTGATGGTTCGCACCTGTAATGGGACCGAGCTTCAGCCTCAGGATTATGTAGGGGGCCGATGCCCGAGTTATGACGAACTGCCCCATTACAGCGGTTGTCGTATCCATGGTCCAAAGGAAGAGGACGTCGTTGGCCCACAGTTGGTGGAGCCACTACGCCGTCTTCACTTCTGCCCTGATCTGCAAAGGGCCATGGAGTCTGTTCACTATATAGCAGATCACACAAGACGTTATGAGGACCAAATGAGTGTAAGTATCGAAGCGTCATATTTTATAATCTAGTGTTCATTCTTCAGGCTTAAAACAACATATTATTATCAGCTTGTCATTAAATTGCTAGCAATTCATTAATGCTTCTCGCTACTACATGTCGGCATATATGTTTGCTATATCTATTTTTCATTTTTGAAATTATATTTGAGAATATGGTGCTATCTACTCCAATATGTTTCCATTTAACCAGATGATATGTTAAACAAAACAGAATATTCTAAATGACTAAACTGTTATTTTTTATGCCGGATTTAACTTACAAAAATTGTAAACTAACATAACAAATTCAAATTCAAAATGGCACCTTGTCATTAATTAAGAGAGCCGTAACTTTGAAAAATGTTATACTCGTATCAACAATGCCTTAAAGATCGAAAGAACAGTATTCTTTACTGGAAACAAACAAACTCTGGACATCCCTCTTTCCGTCAACTAAATGACATTAAGAGTTCTCCTGCCCCGCCGAACCCGACGCAGGATTCAACCCCCTGCCCTCGCACCTTGAAGAGAGGGACGCATTGCTTTTTCGACACTGATCGTTGTCTATGATTTGCTACCTGCCAGTCACACGAGCTGCCATCACACAAGGGCATTACCCAGCATACCCGGGGCGTCACCCCCCAGGGAGTACCCGGGACGCCACCCCGGGCTACTAGAGTCTTGAGCTCTAGGACTTGCCAGACCACCGCGCCGACCAGCAAAGCAAGTGATTTTTTCGAAGCCTTTGAAGAACCACTAGGTTCATGATTTGTATACCTCTGTGGCCAATACTGCCTAGGTACAGATGCGAAGGTACTGCGTAGGTAGCCAGTAGCTTCGCAGAGTTCTCCAAGTCAACCCCTAGGGGAGGGGCTCATTGGAAATTCTAGCCTTGCTTCCTTCAGACACTCGTTCCTCTTCGGCACAGGATTGAAATAGTAAACTGCGGTTCGCCACTCCTTTCCGTCATCCACTTGCTCTGCTCTCGGCATCTCTACTTTTATCCTTCCTCGGCATCTCTACTTCCGGTTCTACTTCCGGTTACTTTTCCTCGGCATCTCTACTTCCGGTTCGAGAAGATGAGAAGATTATCATTTTATTAGAGGTCTTCGACCTGATAAGGCCTTTATTAGTGTATCTCACATAATCCCATAATCCCTTGAGCGATCAGAAAAATGTACGTCCTGAAAAAAACTCCTTTGAAAGAGCAATATCATTGTCGTGAGGCGAAAGAAAAAAAAACCCTAAACATGTAATTAGAAAGAAAAAACTGTGAGTTGAACTGGCTAAAATCTACGACATTGAAATTTGCAAGACCTGGCTAATCCCGCTCGACTAAGATTTCACTTGCTTCGCAGTGGTCACCTGTCTTCTTCAGAAAACTTTATCATAATTTCTACTGCTTTGAAAACTGCAATCATCTTTCCTGTAATTAGCTTAACTTGTTTTATTTCCTTTGCGATTACAATAATTTCATTCATAAGATTGAAATCTTTGGAATCTTTAAAGATAGATAAGATATGGCCTAATTTTTTTGTTGGTGACACGTTTTTCTTTAATCTATCTCTATAATTTCTTGTTTGTGAATGTCGAATTTTGCTTGCTCATAATTTGGAGTTAGGACAGGGAAATCCTTTTCAGGAGGTTCTGATTTATATCTTGATTTCTTAAAAAATCTGAAACTCTCTTGGTGAACTTTATAGTCTGCATATGAATTTACGTGATTTTCTGAACGAAATTCTAAAACTGTTTTCCTTCTGATTTTAATGTGAATGTGTTGCTTCTATGATTTTAGGGACATTTAGACCATCCCTTCTGCGTGTGGCCATATTCTTGGCATTTGAAGCATTGTACCAGGCATTTTTTATGGAATATTTTTCTATTTTTATATTGAAATTGGAAACATAGTTTAGGTTGAATATTGCTTTTGGAATAATGGAAAGTTTTATTAATTGATTATTTTGGTTTTTTTTTTTTTTTTTTTTTTTTTTTTTTTTTTTTTTGTAAACTGTTTTACTTTGATGTCTGGGAGATACCTGAGATCTATGTGGGAGAAAGTGGCCTCTTCTGCAACATTACTCAACATATTTTTAAGAATAACTTTGATGGAAGACTCTGAAGTGAGGTGATAAATAATGAGCTTTTTCAGGTTTTGCATGTGTATTTGAAATTATCTAATTTTTTCATATCCAGAAAGATCTATTTTGCTTTCATTTCAGCTTCTAAGTGGTTAATGCATGTTTCTTGTAACTTTTGTCTATGGCAATTATATCGAGATTTTCTTTCGTTAATTACTATAGAAGGAATTTTGTCTGGGCTTTAAATAACGAGACGGTTTTCATTATTTTGAGGGAACAGTATCTCGAATCTGTTGCTTTGGGCTGTTTCCGTTGTTCCTTTATTATTAGCTGGAGATTTGCAAGTTCATGTTAGGGGAATCCATTCATCTTTGGAAATTGCTTCCAAAAATTTCCAATTTGTTTTCTGAGGAGCGTTGGTGTTCTAAACGTCAGCGGGGGATTTTTCAGTGGAATTTTTAATATTCTCAAAGTCGTTTTTTAGGGAAAGTTCATCTGTCAGTTGAAAAAAATATTTCCGTGACGCTCAATTACATTTTTAAACGTGGAAGTTTGGGACGTTCTTATATTTTCGTCTGCAACATATTCCGTGCTATAACTTCTTCAGCATTTCTCATGGTCTCACGAACTAAATTTGTCATATTCGAAGTTACCCTTGAGTCTAATTTAGTAGAATAGTTGGAGTTTGATTCGCTTTTCATGTGTTCTTGTTAGCTTCTTTCAGGAGATTTTGCTCTCATCGGGTAGTATTTTGCTGCCCCAAACGATTAAGAGAAAAGATACTTACAAAGAATGAGCGGTCAAAAAGTCATGCTTCTCGCAACGACTTGGCTGTAATATTATGTGAAACAGACAAAATAATATATGACCGGTTCGAATAAATAGCTTGGCTTACATACTTTTAAGTTGGCTGCGGGCGCATATCCTTCCACCGAAACATTGCATACTTCAGACGACAGTGAATAGTTAAAAGTAACAAGGAATCATTTGTCGCTCGGGAAAATTTAAGTACAGGAATGGTAGCTGCCATACAGCCCCTTCCCGGATTCCGATGAAAGTCAGCTCTCTAACCGGACCATGGGTGGAGAAATACTATTTGATCTTGTTACGACAGTTTTGATTGATTTAAGTCGCAGGTGCCTGCTCATGTTCATCCTCCTGGGCCAATACAAATGCAGAATTCAAACAATTAATTCACACGGATGTGTACTTTCCTTTGATGTTCTCTGTAAAGTTCACTTACTTTCCTAGGCATGAGGTCACAGTAGTCCAGAATACGCTGTTGCGGTGGACACCTAGCGAAATCCTGTCTAATAAAGATCTGTAAGACATGCGTGGCAATTCAGCCTTCTGGATGGAGGAAGACATTACGGCATATATGTCGCGACACAGGAGATGGTCTCAAATCCCTCATTTTAAGCTGCAGAGATCGAAGAAATTCCAATTGGGAAACAACTGTCTGGTACGAATTTCTAAGAATTCTCCAGGTAATTCAGAGGAACTATACAAGAAATGGCCGTGGTGACGCATGTAAATCACACTTGAGACTGAAAAGCAAACTAATGAACACTAGTGGGAGGGAGTCTGGGTACTGTGTAGAGTTGTTGCTCCTCCAGGACGGCCTTAAGTTGGCGGTGCAGCCATGGTGCATGTTCCACTCCATTCCGCAGCAAACCTTCATTGTCGGTTGGACAAAGCGTATTGCCTTCCGTGAGGATGTTGATCCAGTTACATCCTTGACCAGTGTTGATCTAGCTATAAATGGGTTTAGAAATTCTTTGATGATTTCCGTAATTTTTCATATTTGCAAAATATTAAGCCAAGAGATACTTGCGCTTGAGCTTGAGCGGTTAAAAAACAGCCTGGGGCAAAAATTATATTACTTGGGCAAATATTTCGAAAGCACTGAGCTGAGCCATTTCCAATTTAAAAAGATTACTGACGGTGACAGTTTGGCAAACCTGAATACCAAATTCAAGGATTGGGCGACTAAGAGGATGTATACGTTGTTCTTAAAATAAAATCATCAGCACGCTAATCATCGCTAGAAATAAATTTTAAATTCCTAAATTATTAATATGAGCATGGATGAGAATTTCTAGGTCCAAGACAGATTGTTAATCTTAGCATTTCCTTGGAAAACACATAAAGAGTTATGTTTCACTATTCTGCAGATAATAACAATATATATATTATTCACATTTTATAAATGACCTTACTCGTACCGTGAGTTCAGCTTTCAGTGCACATAAATATGCAATCTAATGTAGGAACATCGAACTTATCTATACTTATTAAAATGATTTCAATACTGAACTTTCGAAGAAGAGTTTTTTGTTCACTAAATAAAATGTACTTTTTACAAAATTCTTAAAAGAACGTTTAAAGCATTTTTCCTTCCTTACCGCATGCCTTCGTGGTGTAACTGGAAAGCATGTCATACTAGCAATCAGAATATCCTCAGTTTGAATCCCACAAAGAGCACTTTTGATTCTTTACGTATAAAAGCCTCGAAAAATTATAAATTTCTCATGATGCTCGAACTAAAACATAATGTGGTGGTCGATAATTAATTACCATCAGGATTTGGCAATTGAATCCTCTTCTTCTCAGTCGCCCTTTAAATGGGGGATAATGCAAGGCATTTTCTCCCTCTTTACACCGTGCCTTCATGGTGTAATTGTAAAGCACATGTAGCTAGATATCGGAAGATACAACATTAGAATCCTGCTCAGGCATTGGGCATTTTTTCGGCTTCTGGCTTTCGAAAATTCAAACAAGTCTTCACAAATTTTTATTTGTAGCATGCGATATACTGTCATGTACGATATATTGTCATCTGCAGTAAATTAATCTTGAAAATAATTCAGCTTCGTCAATAATATTTTAATTTATTGAAATTCTAGGTTTACTTGATTT